CACGAGAGAAAGCCTTGGTCTGGCCACAGCAGTGAACTCACTGCCCAGAGGCCCCCAGGGGGGTGGTAGCCTCTGTGAGGTTCACATCTTTCATGACTTTTCACCTTGGAGCACACAGAGAAATACTGAGCCCCTTTCTTCAGAGATGATGTATGAATCATAACCAAACATTCTGATAACTTCCCCCTCTTAGCCAAATATAGTTGTTTCTAGTGAGGAAGTGATTTCACAGCAAGTTTTCTGTTCGTTGCTTGGGTCCCTGGTACAAGCTCACCAGTTCTCCCTTGCATGTTTTGCACAAGGGACACAACTTCTGCCAGTCCTCACCCCAACCTTCCTGTCCAGTGGAACCAAAGAGGACAGCTAATGTTCATTATTTTATTTTACTGGGGATTGCACCCAAGACCATGTCATTGAGATCTACACCCCCCAAAGTCAGCCTTTTTTACTTTTGGAGACAGGACTTCTGCTAAATTGTCCAGGTTGGCCTTAACTTTGAAATTCTCCTGCTTTAGTCTCCCAGAGTGCTGGGATTACATGCGTCACCACACCTGCCTGCTATCACATATGTAAAAAGCACAAGCGCAGGGCTGGAGTTGTAGCTCAGTGGTAGATCAGTTGTCTCATATGCATGAAGCCCTGAGTCTGATACCTGCTACTACACAAACACCAGCGTAGCTTGAGGCGCAGCTCAGAAAGTGTCCTGGCTGAGGATGGACTCTTGCTGCAGGGCAGAGACCAAGTGCTTGGCCGTGAAGACCGCAGTACCACCAGGCAAGACTGCAATGAATCTCATGCCATCAAGCACAAAGATAGCCTAGGCGGCCTCTGGACAAGTCTGCTCTGGGACAATGACACTTTTCTCTTGTCATAGCTCTTTACTACAGTCATTTTATACAGATGAATCGCTCCTTCTCTTTCTTCGCAGGCTTTCTTCCAGCGGAGCTGGGCCACCGCTGGAGAGTTGCCATTTGTATCAGACCCTCTCCCCAGCTGCATGCTTCTCTGGAGATGATCCTGCTGATACTCCCTAACTCTGCAATACCAAGAAAACCTATCAGGCATCAAAGACAATTAAGTGATCACCCCAACTGAATGACTTAGCTGTTACAGAATGTGGGATTCAACTAGAACTTAATTTCTTTTTATTTTAGGGAAGGATCTACAGGGTGTTCAGAGTCTCACTCATACTCCTAGTGATCCGCCTATTTACAGCCTCCCAAGGGATTACAGGTGAGCACCACTATGCCTAGTCTCAATTGTCATCTCAGCGTGCCCTGAGGGTGGGACCAGCATGGCAGGCCTGGGGATCTAACCTGCTTGCAGGTGCTTTAATCTGCTGAGCTATTTGGCCGGCCCTTAGAACTTAATTTTTGTCAAATTGTAATTATGCCTAATGTGTAATAGATTCTGATTCATTCATGGTTAACAATGCTGACCATTGGTTCATTATGACAGTAACTTAATTAAGAAATGACTGCAAACTAAACAAAAAAGGGGATACAGATGAATGACCACTTTGTATCTGTGTATTCCAAATGGTTAGGATAGATGTATAGCTACATTCTCTTAATTTAAGGAATAGAGGGATTTGGTCTAATAGTGTTTGTAAATAGGATATCATGTCTGCATCTTGTACACCAAATAACCACTAGGAAGGCAGTATGTAATGTATTAATTATTAGAACTGTCCTATCAATTTGATTTGAAACTGTCTCATTGCTATTTATTTCTCAATAAAATTATGGGAAAAAGAAATGGCTGCAGATAAAATTTCTCATGTTACATGAAATTTACTCTTAATAATAGATACTTAACTACATTCATTCCAAAATTGATAGCTACAACTCTTGTTGCACAGGTCCTGCTTTACCTTGGTCTTAACCATCCAGTAGAAAAGTATGAAGATGAAATATAGGAAGTAAAGCCTTGTTGTTATGTTGAGCTGTGGGGGACTCACGTCAATAATTTCTGACATTGCCAGTTAAACAGAAGACCCAATGATATTATGGGCTTCTGTACTCTTTTAGAATATTTTGCTGAGTTTACACACCTGTAATATTCAACAACGGAACTTAAAAAAAATTGGGGTATATCTATGAATGTCCATTTTGTATCTGTGTATTCAAAGTGGATGGGATAGATATATAGTTGCATTCTCTTAAAGAATAGAATGATTTTTTCTAATGGTGTTTGTAAGTAGGATCACAAGTCTGCATCTTGTACAGCAATTAACCACTGAGAAGAATGTATGCAGTGTATTAATTGTTGAAACTGTACTTTCGATTTGATTTGAAACTGTCTCATTGCTATATGTTTATCAATAAAACTTTGAAAAGAAAAAAAATAAAAAACAAAATTGATGAATACATAAATAGTTTTGGAAGACAAAGGAAAATACAACAGCAATAAACACATCCATCACTGAAGTGATGGACCCTGATTTCACATATGCTACTTGGATCCCAGCAATATGGAAGGGAGAATTTGTGGGGTGCTTTTCCCATGAGACAAACACTGAGGCAAGCACAAGTCCTGCATTTTCTCATTTTGTCCTCCTGAACATCAAGGAGGTGAATAGTATCATAAGCCCTTGCTTTACACTCATGGAATCTGAGTCTCAGAGGGGTTAATTGACTTAAAGTCCCTGTGCTGGTAAGTGGCAGAGCTGAAACTGAGCCTGGATCTACCTGAGAAGTTAGTGAATCAGACAGACTGGACGAAGGTACTCATTGATAACTATGTCATTGCAATGGTTAGTGCGGACATCATAGCTGTATCTCAAATACTAGAGTTCGAATACTAGGAACAGGTTTTCCCACTTGCCTTTCTGTACCAACCAAGCTACTGCAGAGAACAATTACAGTCCCTGACACCCCATAGCACAAGACAAAACCCACCAATTTTAGATTCATGCACCACCTAGCAGCTGTCTGTAGCCAGCTGAAAAGTCAACACAACTTGGAATTGCCTAGTCTACCCAAAGCACAGGCTATACATTTAAATTTGCTGTCCATATAGTTCTGAAGCATCATTGGTTACAGCTACAGAGACTAAGTCCTTGGCCCAGCTGCAAATATAGAGTTTGAAAATAAATTTTATAACTATTTAGTTATTCAGGTGAATGCAAAAGTCATTCCTTTGCAATGTTGCTCCCCATCAATGGACCCTGTAGGTGACACTTAGATGCACTTCAAGTATTAACAGAATTTAAAAACCTAAGTGTGGCTCATGAGTTCCTTCCCTGGGTGATGCACTGTGAGTCTGGAGTTCCCTGGGGAACCACATTTCCTTTCTTAGATTTGCAGTTTTTAGGATTATTGCATGAAGGATGTAAAGCACTGATTGAAGGAGGAGCATGAACTCTATCAACTGCTCTCAGCTTTTTTCCCAGGCTCAGCTTGTCAGAGAAACATTCCTGAGACTTTTATTTTGCATTCAAAGTCAAACCAAGGTAGAAAATGAATAAGCTCCAGGTTTTTCCAGAATCTTCTCTCTCCTCCCAAGAAAGGATTTGCTTGTTAGTGAAAGGACCAGTAAAACTCATGTGTGCCACTGAGACAATGGTTCTTAACTTTGGCAGCACTTTGGAGATACCTGGAAATTTAAAAAGCCACAAATTCTCCCCAGGAGATTCTGCTTTCATGCATCCTAGGTGCAGCTAGAGCAGCAGAACTTTCAAAATTCTTTCCGTGATTCTAATCTGTAGCCCTGACCCCTCTGGTCAGTGGGAATGAGGTAGTCCTTTTCCCAAGCTTCACTTGATTCTATTATTATTCCACATCTTATGATACAACTCTATTGACTATCATGCCACTTTATTCAATTGAAATTAGGTAACTGCAACCACAGTTTCATAGGTGTCATTGGTGCAACTGGTCCAATCCCAGAAGAATCAATGCAGTCATTACGAAAGCATCATTGAATTTTAGTGCAGAATTAATTTATCTTCAAGACTCACAATGGACATCAAATGTGCGTAAAATTAACTTTAAAAACTTAAATATGCATTAAATTTTTGGCCAAAAATGTCCAAGGACTTTTACCAATCACTCAATGACTGGGAAAAAATGTATGGTGAATTTTGGTAAGGTTCTCTTCAAATCAGATTTTTCAATTGCTCTTAAACATCGCTGATTTTTTTAGAAAAAAAATTAAAAATATGTAAAAGGACTTATAGGGTTAGGGATATAGCTCAGTGGCACAAGTACTTGCCTGGTAAGCACAAGATCCTGTGTTTGATCCTCATTACCAAAATAAATAAATGAATAGTCTTGCAAAGCTTATTTGTTTTCTAGTATTACAGCTTTTGACCACAATAAAAAGACCATCTGTTATGTCTAGACACTGTAAAAGTTATCGAAGTAGAAACATGTTACTTTAAATTGAGAACAAAAAAAGTGGCAATTAATATTGAACTTGAAGTTTTGTGTAGTTACGTTAAACTCGGGTTTCACTGGGTTCTAGCCTTATTCTGTGCATGAGAAGGCAGCTCTTCCTTCACAATAGAAATAACAAGGTGAGTCTACGGCCATGGTATCTTGAACGCACCCAATCCCATCTGATCTTGGAAGCTAAGCAGAGTTGGACCTGCTTGGTACTTGGAAGGGAGAAATCACAAGGTGAAATGGTGTCCTCCCCAAATCACTTGCAACCCTGTTGTCCTAGGAGAGAATATCACTTTTGGCATGGCCACGCAATATTCCAATTCAATTTCTGTTAGAATTTTCTTGTCTTCCAGTTCAAAGTAATAAGATTATCACTGCATGCGATGTTCAAATTTATGCTTTAAGTACATTGCACTAATGCCTGCATACCTCTGAAGGAAATACCAAGCCACTTTTTCTGTACTTAGTGTTGTCTTGATACTAAACCTTTTAATACTCATCCATTTATTACTTCTTTCATCACACCGAAGGCCACCGACCCAGATGTCTGGGCCAGTTAATCATGTTTTATTGGATAGCTTTGCTAAAAGAATAGACAGGTCTTGGGCTTACCTCTTTGCAGTTAATGTCCCTCCTGAATTCTCCTCTCACCCCTTGCAGCAGCACAGAAGGGTCCTCACTGTGCAGTAGGCTTCTGGAGAGAAGAAACTGACTGACTTCCTGAAACAGGTCCCGGCTGCCCCAGCGGAACCTACCATGTGGTTTGCAGAAGTTTATGTGGGAAGAAGGGAACTTGCGATTTCTTAACTGTTGCCAAATCATTTATTGACTCTGCTTTAGAATTTTGAAACTGAAATAGGAGACAAAGTTTCTCGTAAAATAATTTAAATAGAACCCACACCAGATCTCTAGAGCTATTTTGGAAGCTGATGCATATTTGAAATTGTATGTGTGTGTGTGCGTGCGCGCGCGTGTGTGTGTGTAGCCACAGAGATTATCACCAAAATGTTTGTATCAATTAGTTCTGGAGAGCAGGACTGCAGGAAAATGAAGGAGAGAAAATAGGGACCCTCTTTTCCTTAGAGAGGACACTTAGTGTATTCTTTTTTATTAGTGCGTGTTTCTAATACATAATGTTTGCACTCATTGTGGGGAGCTGGTGCGTGTACACAACACGTCTTAATCCTTTTCACATTGTCTTCTCTTCTTCCCCCTCCCTCAAAGTCTAGGACCTCTTTACATTTGCAAATGATCTATGTCTCTATTTTCCGTTATCTATCTTTTATTTTCTTCTTTCATTTATTTATTTTTTATTTATTTATTGTGTTGAAATACCAGTGATTGAACTCACGACCTTGCGTATGCCAGTGAGGTGCTTATGCCACTGAACTATCTCCCTGGCTCCACTTTCCTTCATTTATACTTTGGATTTGTAGTATAAGAGAAACCATTTGATACTTAAGCTTGTGTGTCCATTTATTTCACTTAAGTTCTCCCCCTCCCGGGAACCAGGAATTGAACTCAGGCCCTTGCACTTGCCAAGCAAGTGCTTATTCTACTGAGCTATCTCCCTGACCCCATTAACATTATTTCTTCGAAGTGCATCTATTTTTGTACAAATGACTCAAACTTGTCCTTCTTTATAGTAGACCAGTACTCTAGTGTATTCTCTTAAAAAAAATTCACCATAAGTTTGTATGAAATTAGGATTTCCTAAACTCATTTATGTAGGTAAATGTGAATAATGCTTCCTCTTTATGCCATACATTTCTGGGAAACATGCAGCACAGCTGGGTTCAGGTCACATGCCACCTGCCACTACAAAGAAGCTATCATTCCCTCAGATGTCCTTGTGCTTCACCTAGCACCTAGCATATAGTATGAGCTCAGCATAAGTTCATTGACTGAATGAGTGAATGAGTTATGAACACTCATGAGGATATAAAATTTCCTTTTCCTGATTTCAGTAGCTGGAGTTAGTTTTCCTTTCTAGCAATTAAATGTAAATTCTCATCTGTAAAATTTCTTTTTTCCTTTGGGCAAGATTAGGTTCAAGAGATATAGTTTACTGACATCTGCTCTGGGTTAAACTTTCAGAGGCGCTGATTCCAGGAACTCCTTAAACAGGCATGGTTGGTCCCTCAGGCTGCAGACTGTAAGCAGAGTCCTGGGACCCCAGTCCTGACAAGATGGTGGGCTAGGCTCTGGGAGATTCTGAGGTGGATTCTCCTTTCTGTGCTCTCTATGGGCTCTCAACTTTCCACTGGCAGGTCTTAGACCCCAGTGCCTTGCTGGTCCAAGCTAAACTCTTGGAACAAGTGTCCACCTCCCTCAGACAACAGCAAGAAGGGGCCAGTTTCAGTAGGGTCCATGTGTGCTGGGATGGGAACCTACTCATCCTGATGAATGGCAAGGTTTGGGACTGTCTCTTGATGACCTAAGGGCACCCTCCATAAACCAAAGCCCTATGTCTGTGAGGCACTGTGACTGAAGGCTGGGGTTGTGTCCAATGATGATGGAGAATGAAACTTCAGATAGAGGAGGGAGGTGGGAGAAAATTTATTTAAGATATGAAAACTAGAAAAATGAAAGATATAAAGATAAACAAGTAAAGCTCCTGCTAGCACGGAGGGGGTTCTGAGTAGGAAGTCCATGAAGGTTTTCTTATCTGGGGCTTTTCAAGGAACTTAGAAGGGAGCTCAGGTTGTTGTGTAAGCAGTAGAATCTCTGCCCTGTAGAAGACTGCTTACTCTCAATCTCAACTGCCTAGGTTGTAGGATAATAATAATAAGCTTCTCTTCTGGAGGGTTAACAACCTAAGCTTGCAGACCAAGAATTAGAGAAAAAGAAGGGCTGCAAGGACAGCCAACATTTTGGCCCTGGCCTTTCAAGGTCAGTGAAGACTCATGACATAGGAGAACCTGTACTGTAACATCCTGTAACTCAGTTGTGTCCCAAATTTTCTGATCAAGGAGACTATGGGGCCACAGAGGAAAGTGATCAATGATGTAGAATGTGC